GCTAAGTCTATCAAAGTTAGTCATCGCACAACGTGGCTGTTACTGTGTACAACATTCTTCTGGTTCTGAAGGAGCTTATAATCTAATGAGGGAAAATTAACACACAAATGGAAGCTGAAAAGCAAGGGGTGGGAGGAGGAAGTAGGCTACCAGAGAATACCAGCATGAGAGCATGATACTCATACAATGAAACTGAGCAAGTTCTGAGCCCTCTATAAAGGAAGGCTTTGAGAGAAATTAATTGTTCTACCATTTAGCCCTCCAATCAGAGGGGAAAGTAACTGAGGGAACTGAAAGGTGTTGAGTATCAAAGATGGATTAATTCTTTATGATGATGAGATTTCAGTTGATGAGCTTATCTTGGACCAATCTGATGTGGAAGCTGATGAAAAATGAGAGCTCTACTCATTGTTATCCGTAGCTGCTTAATGTCATTTCCATTGATAAGATCATATCTGTTTCTGACTTTGAACCATTTGACAGAGCCCAGAGCAGATCTTTGGTGAGGGTTGCAGCATCTACACAAAGATTGCTCCTCTAGACAATGGCTGTGGTGGCTAGGTTGGAAGCAGAGATCTGAGAATCTCAGCTATTCCCAGGGATAGTAGTCTGGGAGGGGCTGCCATTCCCAGGGCTCTTAGGCTCAGGCTCCTAGGCTATTCCCAGTGGGTCCTAAAGGGAGATCGTGACTGAGGTGGTGTTTGTGGTTTGACCCGCCTGGCACATGCCTCCTCCTGTTTCTGCTTTGTTCTGCTTCTTTCCCTATTCATCAGTTTCCCATTCTCATTTCCCTCTTTGCACTTGATATTATTACAATATCAGCAACTGGGAAAAAAGACCACTAGTTTTGAAAACAGACTGAATTTCAGTCCCAGTGCTGACTCATTAGATACGTGATTCTACTGTGCAAGTCTCTAAGACTCCATGACCTGGTTTCCTCATTTATAATATTCCCTCAGCCTACCTCAAAGCGTTCTTGCAGACTTTACAAAAGAAAAGCACTTTTCAAAGTGTTATCTATGTAAATATAAGTTATTGTTGTTATTATTATTAGTGGTGGTAGTAATATATTTGGGGCAGCTAGATGGGGGGAAGGGAAGACCTGGAGTCAGAAAGACTTATCTCCCTGAGTTCAAATCTGGCTTCAGACTAGATATATGACTCTGGGTGAGTCACTCAACCCTTTTTGCCTCAGTTTCTTCATCAGTAAAATGAGCTGGAGAAGGAAATGGCAAACCACACCAGTATCTCTGCCAAGAAAACCCCAAATGGGGTCATGAAGAGTCCGACATGACTGAAAAAGGACTGAACAACAACAACAAAAAGCAATATAGTGGTGGGGTGGTGGTAGTGGTAGAAACAGTAATCCTTGAGAGGGTAAAGACCAACATAAGATGCACAATGCCTACCTTAATAAATGCTGAAAGTACTACTAGTATGCACCAAAGATTTTCCTCAAAAACCTACTAGTATGCACCAAAGATTTTCCTCAAAAACCTCTTCAGGTCTGCAAAATGGGAGACCTGCAAATGTATTGTCTCCAAACATATCCAGTATTTGGCTAAAATAGATGATGCCATTTGTTCCCAGGCCTTTTTCAAACTGACATCCTTAAGAAACAAAACATGCTATTTTGTGATTTTTCCCCCGCTATGTTTCTTCTTCTTAGGAAACCACTATTGTTGACTCACATCTCCTATGCTAGAAATACACAACAGTAAGGGAAAAGAGAAGGCTACAAAAGTGGGAAAAAGCCACCAGAAATTGGGCTGGACCAATAAGGTCTTTGAGGTCACAATAGAACTCAAGGTCAAATTCTGCAAAGGAAGGGGCAATAAGAGACCATCACAGAAGCAAAGGTCCTTGTTAGATTAAATTCAAAGCAAGGCAAGGCATTCCACAAGTCAAGAAACTGCCCCTCTGAAGAGCAAAATTTGCTTTCGTGAGAGAGATTTTTTAACATAAAGGGAAGAATCTTAGACAAAATGAGGAGATCCAAATTCCATTCCTGGCTCCACTGCTGACTATCTGTATGACCTTAAAAAGATTCACAACCTTGCACTGTCAATGATGCTAGCAACCCTGCACAATGACCAAAGGCTCATATTTCATCTGTAACATTGCTAATTTATGCATGCAATACTACCTAGAATGATGAATCGCACTTTATACCATACATTTTGATGTTTGGGTATGAGCTCTGCCTACCCATTGATATATCTTGGAGTCTAAGAGATGGAGAAGATGTGGAGACTCACAACCAGCAAATCTGTCTGTTAGGTGAGAAATTGGCTAACAAGTTCGTATAGACTAGCAATGGCCTCAGCTCAGAAAAGTTCTTGTAGGAACAGGCTACACTATGATGCTTCAATTCAATGTCAAGATCTCCAGAGAGATGACAAAGTCTTTAAGTGCCTTCTGTGAGACATCTTGATGTACACAGAACAATGCACAAGATAGAGCAATGGAAAGGCACCTGATATCAGGGAAAGAGGCACTACTCTTTCCTCCTTCTTCATTATTTCTTTTGAGATCCTCCAGGTGAACTTTGGTATTATTTTTTCTAGTTCTATAAAGTAATCTTTTGGTAGTTTGGTTAGCATAACATTGAATAAATAAATGAATTTAGGTTGTATTTTTATTATATTAGCTCATACTACCCATAAACAATAAATATTTCTCCAATAATTTAGGTCTGTCTTTATTTCCAAAAGTAGTATATTATATTTGTATTCAAATAATTCCTATGTTGTCTTGATAGGTAAACTCCTAAATATTTAATGTATTATGTAGTTATTTTGAATGGAATTTTTCTTTCTACCTCTTGTTGTTGGGTTTTATTGGTGATATATGGAAATGTTAATGGTTTTTATGGATTTTTTTTATCTACTGAAACTTGGCTGAATTTATTAATTGTTCCAATTAATGTTTTAGTTGGCTCTCTTGAGTTCTCTAAGCAAACTACCATATCTGCAAAAAAAAATGATTTGTATCATCTTCAAAAAATGATAATTGTGTTTCCTCTTTGCCTATACTTATTTGCTTAATTTCTTTTTTCTTGTATTAGTGCTATAGCTAACATTTCCACCATTATATCAAATAATCGTGGTAATAATAGACATCCTTGCTTTACGCCTGATCTTATTATAAAGTCTTTTAATTTGTTATTTTTCCATATGAAGCTGGTTTTTAATTTTAGATAGATAATGTTTATCACATTCAGGAAGTCTATTTATTCTTTTACTATTTCATGTTTTCTTGTTTAAACAAGTGGATGTTGTGTTTTCTAAAAAGCTTATTCTGCATTTGATTTTTATTCTTGTTATTAATATGATCTATTATGTTTATGGTTTTCCTAATATATTAACCAACCCTGCTTTCCTATAGAAATCCAACCTATTCATAGTGTGTAATCTTTTTGATATGTTGATGTGGACTCATTAATAATCATTTAGGTCTTTTTGCCTTTATATTCATTAAAGATATTGGTCCATAATTTTCTTTCTCTGTTTTGTCTCTCCTTGTCTCTTCATCCTTCTCTTGTGCCTGCCACCAGTCTTTAAAGGACAACTGAGGCAAAGAGGATTAGTTCACAAATACAGGTGATACACCCTTTGGTGGAAGTCCTAGTCTCTTGACTAGACTTTTTATGTGACACAGGTCCATCCTTTGCATGCCACAGATCACCCTTATGGCTTCTATATAGGCAAGGAGATGGGAGGACCATGTAACTCCATATTTTTTTTCCTAATGTGAATTACTCACTTTAGGAGTAATGCAGAATCACGGACTCCTTTTTGTCCTTGTACTTTCCACCCTGTCCTAGCCTCTTACTAATAAGAAACAGTTCTTGTAATAGGCTAGTCAGCGATAAAGCTCTTCTGTAAGGCTGAAATGTAAGATAAGCACAATCACAAAGCTCAAATAGGAACTAGATACTCTTCCAGAGGTTTATTTAAAAACAAAACAAAAGAAAACCCCTTCAAGCCATGTAAGTGGGGAGTTGCTTTTTTAAAGGAGTCTCTCTATGGTCCCAAGGTTGTCTGTGCAGGCATACCTTAGAGACATTGCAGGTTCAGTCCCAGACCACCTCAATAAAGTGAATATGGCAATAAAGCAAGGCACATGAATTTTTTGGTTTCCCAGTGCATATAAAAGTTGTGTTTACTCTATACGGTAGTATAGTAAGTGTGCAATAATATTATGTCTAAAAAAACCCAACAATGTATATACCTTAATTAAAAGTACTTTATTGCTAAAAAATGCTAATTGTCACTGGGGCCTTTAACAAGTCATAATCCTTTTGTTAGTGAAGGGTCTTGCCTTGATGTTGGCTGCTGACTGATCAAGGTGATGGTTGGTGAAGGTTGGGGTGGCAATTTCTTAAAATAAGACAACAATGAAGTTTGCCACATGGATTGACTCTTCCTTTCATTTGAACTCTTATTAATTGTTCTAATTTTAATATTGTTATGTTAGGGAGGCCCAAGGAGAGGCAGAGATATAGGGGAACAGTTAGTTGGTAGAAGAGTCAAAACACACATTTATTGTTTAATTGTTTATTGTTTAAACACAACATTTATTGTTTAAGTTCTCCATCTTATATGGGTGTGGTTTGTGGTATTTCAAAATAATTATTACAGTAACATCAAAGATAAATGATCACAGATCGCCATTGCAGATACAATAATAATGAAAAGTTTGAAATGTTGTGAGAATTGCCAACATGTGACACAAAGATGCCATGTGTGAACATGCCATTGAAAAAAAAATGGCACTGATAGACTTGCTTGACATAGGGTTACCACAAACCTTCAATTTTTAAAAAAAACATAATGTCTTCAAAATGCAATAAAGTGAAGCACAATAAAATGAGGTATGCCTGTATCTTCTGAGTTACAAAATAAAAGACTTCAGCTGACCTCTCTTCAAGTGTTTTAGCTATGGTGTATACTGGTTAGTTCCACGTGGCTTAGTGGGCAGATCATCAACATTGACATTTGTCTTTCCTGAACTATATTATGAGCCAAACTCATAGTTGGCTAGGGTTGCTTCGAATCTTTTAACTGGCAGCATCTTAATGCTGAAAATGTAAATCAGTGGATTATTGTCAGTCTGTACTTGAAATTCAGCTCCATGCATGTAGTCCCTGAAATTCATTCTGCTTCTCATCAGAGAGCTCCAATTTGTGTATGAAGTAATAAGTCTCACCGCTAGTTAAGTCCTCTATTGGCAAATACAGTGGGTTTCTGGTTACCACCATTCTTCTGGTTCAAGTTGGATTCCAGGCCTTCAAATCTTGTGACAGAGTGTAGCACCAAAGATTTGCTTAAATCTGCAGAAGCCAGCCCTGGTATGTGGGTATAAGGCAATTGATCAAGTCTTCAAAAGTTTGTTCATACTTCCTGTCCCAATTCTTTCCAAAGAGTATTGAAGGAGTCAAGCCAAGTTGCTCTTTTCTCATAAGTGACAATGGTTATTTGAGATCCACTGTCCAATGTACATGGCTTCTTTATTCCTTCAATCCTCATTTTTCATATCCCCTCTATATGTTGTCCCCCATTAGAATGTCAGCTTCTTGAGAGTAGAGACTTTTTTTTTGTATTTGTATTCCCAGCACTTAGCTCAGTACCTGGGCACATAGTAAGTGCTTAATAAATGCTCTGTCTTACAGGATGATTTCAGAAAAACCTGGAAAGACTTATAGGAACTGTTGCCAAGTGAAGTGAGCAGAACCAGAACAGTGTACATAGTAACGATCATGTATGATGATCACTGTGAATGACCTAGCTATTCTCAGCTATACAATGATCCAAGACAATTCCAAAGGACTAATGATGAAACATACTATCTGCCTCTGGAGAAAGAACTGATGAGAGTCTGAATAGAGATTAAAACATACTATTTTTTGCTTCATTTATTTATTTATTTTGGTCAGTGTTTTCTTTTACAACATGACTAATATGAAAATACATTTTGCATGATTGCACAGGTATAACCTATATCAAATTGCTTATCGTCTCAGGGAGGAAGGTGGGGAAGGAAAGAGGAAGAGAATTTGGAAAATTAATGTTAAAAATTGTTTTTACATGTAATTGGGAAAAAATGAAGTATTATTTTAAAAAAATAAATGCTCTGTCTTTCTATCTATGAGTACAAGTAAGAAGGTCTCATGAATTGCTGATGGAGTCAAGCTTAGGGTCTTCAGTTTTAGAGGTGACCTTTATCCCTGACCTTACCATTGGTGCCTAAGAGTGGGTTGGTAGACAACAGCTTGTCTGCCTCTCTTAAGTGTAGCCAAGTACACAAGTCCATCTTGACAATACCAGAAGATAACGTAGTGTCTTCAGCTGTGCTGTCCTTTTGCTGATCTTGCTTTAGGCTACTGTGATCACTGATCCCTCAAACCTTTGCCCTGCCAAGAATAGTAATTCTAACCACTGTTTTGTTTCTTAGCAAACTTACTCTGAGCTCCTGAGTTGAATCTAGGTTACTAGGTAGATAGATAAATAGATATAGATATATATGCATGTATGTGTGTGTATATATGTGTGTATGCATGTATGTATATGTATATATGTGTGTATGTGCATGTATATATTTAAATATATGTTTTAAAAATATAAATATGAATATATATTTTTTAAAAAACGAGAAAAATAAAGTGAAAAAATTATGCTTCAATCTTTATTCAGACTCCATCAGTTCTTTCTCTGGAGGTGGATAGCATTTTTCATCGTAAATTCTTTGGAATTGTCTTGCGTCATTGTATTGCTGAGTATAGCTAAGTCATTCACAGTCGATCACTGTATAATATTGTTGTTACTGCATACACTGTTCTCCTGGTTCTGCTCACTTCACTTTTGCATCAGTTCATATAAATCTTCCCAGGTTTTTCTAAAACTATCCTGTTTATCATTTCTTATCACACAACAGTATTCCATTACACACATACCACAATTTCTTCAGCCATTCCCCAATTGATGGGCATCTTCTCACTGTCCAATTATTTGGCATCATAAAAAGAGCTGCTATCAACATTTTTGTACATATAGGCTTTTTTCCCCTTTTTCTTTGATCTCTTTGGGATACAAACCTAGCAGTGATATTACTGGGTCAATAAGTATGCACAGTTTTATAGCCCTTTGGGCATAGTTCCAAATTGCTCTCCAGAATGATTGTTCAGTTCACAATGACTCCACCAACAGTGCATTAGTGTCCTAATTTTTCCACATCCCCTCCAACATCTGTCATTTTCTTTTTGTCATATTAACCAATCTGATGGGTCTGAAATGGTTCCTCGGAATTGTTTTAACTTTCATGTTGTCAAGTAGCCCATCCATGGAAGGGTGTTTTAGCTGCTGTTTTAGTCTTGGGTATTGTTTTGCTGAGTGTTTTTGGTGGTAATGTATTAGGCTTCCCTTTAAGAGGTTAACTTTTTGCTCAAATAGTGGTATCTTATTCAGCTACTCATTATACATAGTCAGGTTTGTTGTTGTTTTTAACCATTTTGGTCCATCAGATATTATTGTATCTGACTGCTTGCTCCCTGTCAATACATTGCTCATTTGGGACAACCTGACACAATCTATGTTTCCTGGCTTCACTGTTCCTTTGCCATATCAGTCTCCAAAGCAGACACAAAGGGATCCTGTCCTTTTATAACATAGAGTGTTGACAAATTTAATATGAGCCTCCTATGGGCTTTCTGCAACTACAAATTGCTTCTCCAGTTATTGCAAGCACCTCAATATTATGAACCTGGAGTTTTCAGCTGTCAGCACATCAGATTAAAAGGTGTTTCTGTGAGACTGTTTGGTGGTCTCCCCCTTTTCTTGACTTTTGTCACCTGTTGCTGGCGCAGTGGATGGAACACTGGGCTTGGAATCAGGAAGCCTCATCTTCTTGAGTTCAAATCTAGCCTCAGATACTAGCTGTATGACCCTGAGCAAGTCACTTAACCCTTTTTGCCTCAGTCTCCTCATCTGTAAACTGAGTTGGAGAAGGAAATGGCAAACCACTCCAGTATCTTTGTCAAGAAAACGCTGAATGGATTATCAAGAGTCAGGTACAACTGAAACGACTGAACAACAACAACAGCTGCTACAAAGTCCCTTTGGCATATTCTATCCAGGACCTGAGTGTTCTCCAGCCAGCTGAAGATGGCAACTCAGCTGAAAACAAATTGAACTTGACTTAAGAGCCTTGTTCCGGTTTGTATCTACCTTGCCTTACACCTCTAGATGTAAACTTTTTCTTAAAAATTCATTAGATAACATCTTCAGACAGTCTTTCCTTTTAGAAGAGAGTCTTAATTTTCTTTCTTTCTTTCTTTCTTTTTTTTTTTGTGTGTTTTCTTCCTCATGGAGAGGGATAATACTGGTTTCTAGGTACTTTCCTGGCTCTAATGTTTCTTGAAATGCTAGAAGGTACCACGGATGCAGGTAGCCTGCAGACTATAAGTGGGGCTGTACCTCCTGCATCATCTCTCCCTAAATCATTCACCAACCCATTAAGATTCCTCAATGACTTTTATCTTTAGGGCCATGAAATTCTTCTTATAGCAAAAGTCCTTTATGGAACTCAAAAGTCTCACCCTGACACTTACTAGGCGCTGAGGCTTAAATCACAATCCAAGTATACACCAATGCCACCAATAACATTACTTAAGGCCAAATAAGCAAGTTATATAGCTTGAGCATAAGAGGATTGCATCTTCCTCATTAGCATAAATCAAAGGAATAATAAAACACAGGGAAAATTACATAAATTTGTAGGACAAGATTAGGTTATTTGCATAAATCCAGGTGTAGCAAAACAACAACAGTTCCGTCTGCAAGGGGATTTCCAGTAGGAAAACAAAAGAAAGAAAAACATTTTTTCCTTAAAAAAAAAATCACAATATTTTCTTCAAAATAAAATTCTAGAAAAATCTATAAAATTCCGGGAAGATGTGTATGTTCATTTACCTCAAGCAATTCAGAAAAGAAAAACAATTATTCACACATGCAACAAAATAGTCTCAGAGGGAGCCCTTACGTTTTTGGAGAAACAACAAAGGGAATAACCTAGGGGTCTGTCTCAGCCCGTAATGACTGAGCTTTCTTTGAGCTTTAGCAGAGCTGTAACTAGGGTGGGGTTACCAAGGGATTTACCCTTGGGGGCCAGAATTTGGAGGGTACCTAGAGCACCATCTCAGAGTGTGCTTCCTAACACAGCAGCTGCATTTTAAGTGTTTCTCCAAACACTGGCCTACCCTAAAATGTACTGATTTAGTGAATGGGATAAATAATCCTCTTTGAAATGCAGAAGCAACTTGGCCTCTTTTGATATGCAGCTCAGAAACTGGGCTCTAATCTTCCAACTTTATTGGTGGCAGAAAAAGGGAAGAGGGAGGAAGCCAAGAGTCACTATATTGGGTATAACTTGAAAAGAATGGAATTGGTGCAGGGTAGATAAATTAAAAGAAAGGTAGAATGGGGTCTGGGAAAAGTATTCCCCTTATTTAAATTCCTGTTCCCGTCTAGAGTTCTAAAGAGGGCTGGGAGACTCATCTTGCAATGTGTTTGGTTGGGGAGGGCAGTTGCCTTGGTTACAGGAGGGCAAAGCCAAGGGCTAAGTTGGCAATTTCCTGAAAGAAGCTTAAAATTAAAGGTAATATATGTCCTACTCACTATGTAGATTGTTATTTCAGAGCCATGGGAGCTGTTGTCTTGTATTCAAGCAGTCATCTACCCTATGTCAATCCTGTATATCCTGGCCTTAACATTTGTTCACTGGTCCCTAAACTCCATTAAAAACATCTGTTCAGCACAGCACCCTGGTGTGACTGTGGTGGAGGGAATAATAGTTTGAAGGCCCCAGGGCTAAGTATGAGTCTCAATCTCTCCAGAGTCAGAGTTGGGAAAGAGAGAGATGGGCTGAGAATCTGGAGAAATGAGGAAACAGGTATCCACAATTATAAGCAAGGACACAACAAGTTCAGAATATTAACATTTTGAGTAAGAAAACTGAGGAACAAGGCAAGAAGGGGAAACTGAGGCCATTTGAGGCTTTCAGTGGATGGGTTTCTTTATTGAGTGTCACACAGATGGGTAGAGGTGGTGAGATAGCTTTGTCCAGCTCCCTCACGTTACAGATGAGGAAAATGAGGCCCTAGTCAGTTACCTGATGGTTTCTCTGAGTGCTTTTCCTTCTGGCAGATAAAACCTGACCGAGATTTTGCTCTCCTCATAGTTTCCACCTCCTACTCCATGGCCCAGTTCCCCCCAAGTTCTAGTCATAGCTCTGAGTTTCAGCGCCTGCTTGATTAGATTGAAAAATCTAAAGGGGGAAAAAACTGATAAAGGGAATTAGTTAGTTCATTCATTATAGCAATATTCGAGATGCTGATGACATTGTTCCATTCACTCTAAGCTGAAGTCCTATCTTTTAAATTTTTTTCCTTTCTCTCTTAATATATTATATAGTTTAAAACAAAAACAAACATGAACTCCTTTGTTGTCCTAGTATGTCCCTGGCCAGCCTTAGCTCATTCTGACCCAGGATTCATACCTATTTATTCTCTGCTGCCTGGCTTTGCTTTCCCTCTTTTGTACTTTTATCTTTTTAATCTAAGTTGGTTGGTGAGTTTACTTGTAAGATCCATATTGGTTTCTTCAGATAAATTCCATTTTTTCCTTCTCATTGGAGTTATTTGCCTTTCTGTCTTCATAAGACAAGGTAAGAATTTCATTCTTGATCCACTCCCATTTCGCCTGTGCTGTCTTTCCTAAAGCATTTAAATCCTTGGGATACTATCTTTCCTCTGTAACTTTTGAAATTTTTTTTCATGAAAAAAACAAAACAAAACAAAACAAAACTGTGGTTCATGCCAGAGTATGCCAAGATTTCTTCTCTTTCTCTATCATAAACTCATGGATAGAGTGGTCACTTCCCCCCAAGGCTCCTATCATTTTCACCACCACCCTCGAACCAGTTCCTTCAGTTAGTGAACATCAGATCCAGAATACATTTTCCTTTTGTTGGTTCTTTCACCTTTTGAAGGATGAGATTATCACTAAGACAAGTCAGCAAAGTATTACCTATTCTGCTTTTGACAGAGAGAGAGCTAGCGTATGTCTGGATAATTGAAGTCACTACTATACCATTCTTCTTTGCCAGGATTGTGTTTACCAAATTCCTCAACTATTTCTTCTTTCTGTCCAGGTGGTATCTAGTCTACTCTAATGACAAAATCACTTTTGTTTCTTCCTCTTTTGATCTTCACCCAAATACTTTCCATCACACCTCATCTCACATATTTCTCCTCTGGTTCCTTGAGAATTATGTGAGTATATCTTTTAATATAGAATGTTTTTATCTACTCTGTAAATTTTGAATAAGGTATACCTATCCAGAGCCATAGTCCAGTTATGGGTTTCATCTCACCAAGTCTCAGGGATACTCTTGAGTTCTAATTTGCCTCCAGTTCCCCTTGTTTGTTGCCTAAACTTACAGTATTTTTGTATGGTCATTTGAGGATATGGGATTTTTACGTGACTTTTTTCTTGAATTTTTGCATTCTGTGCATTTTAGGGCTTTTCAACTGTTCTTCTTTCTGTCTATCTTCTATTCTATCTAATTTGGGGGATATAGACAGGCAATTTATTCCCTTCCCATTCTTTTTTAGGTTAAAGCCATTTTGATGAGATTTGCATCTTATTTCACAAATGAGTTGCAAATGGCAAATATATTCTTACCAGCTTTTGTTAGGTACACTCCATCTCTGGTCAGAAACTGTTATCCCTATATTGTAAGTTATAGTGCAGAAATCCAAATCCCATTCTCAGATACTACCTTCTTAAGCAACTGTTCACTTCCTCAATTGATTTTTCTCTTTTGCATCCCTGGCCTTTAATAGGCAACAGGAAAGAAAATACAACTTGTGCCCCTATGAGTTTTAGTTTCTTTCCTAAGACGACATAATTGTTGCCAATACTTAAAGAAGTGTCATTTGTACCCACGTGAATCAGCAGAAGTAGGTAGTTGTTATACATTTTGTTAAGTTTTGGGAGATTCTCTGTTGTGTCTTGGATACATTCCCAAGGAAGGTAACAGATATCTCTATTGTTTTCATGTTGACAGATAGATGCCTTATTACTCCTAAGAAAGAAATCACTAACTATTGTTATTCTCCTTTCTTTAACACCTACTGCATGATCTCTCACCTGATAATTGATGTTGGCATAAACTATCCTTCCTGCATGGTATGATCCCCAGTGCCTAGCACAATTCCTGGTACATATTAAGCACTTAATAAATGCCTAATAATTGACTAATTGATTTAGTAGCTACTTAAGGCAGCAGTTAAACTAGAAGTAGAACCTAGGACAGCTTAATCTCACTACCCTTGCTGTAACCATTGGACCACATTCTATCAAGGGCAATGCCCTTGACAGAGTTCCAAGGTGAATTTTTAAACTCTCCATTAGACAGGGTTCTAATGGTGACTATCTTTGAAAGCCCTCAGGCCAAAACATTTGATTAACACTCACCCTGGTGGATCTAGGGAAGCTCCATCTCCACTGGCCATTAAAAACATTAAGGTTGTTCATTGGCCAAGCATTACACACTCCCCTGGTTCTCTGGCCTTTTCTAATTTCCTGGATGTTTGTGTTGAGCTATTTGTCTTTTATTTGTTTATATCTCTTATTTGTTTTCTCTCTGATGAAAGAAGAGCTGCAACACAAACTTTGGTGTCTCCTATCAGGTCTCCTTTTCTCCAAAGTTTTTACATGAGAGCAAGGGTTTATAAATTCATTCTGGAGTATGTTTCTTTCATTCCAAAAATTTTGAGCAGCAGAAGTTGAGATTTAGAAAATAAATATCTGCTGGGGGTGGGGTGGTGGTGTCAGAGTGGTCCCCACAAGAAAGTGGTACTGTAGGGTATAGTGTACCACTAATCCTCTAAAGCCAGGAAAGACTTGCATAAGCACTAGCATCCTCACCTCTGCCAGTGCTAAGGTACCCTTGGGCAAAAACCCCACCAACCCTCTCCCTGCACATACACTCAGTTATTGGCTCATTTCCAAATATGGTTCTCTCTCCCCAAGTGAAAAAGGAAAAGCCTAGGATATGATCTGAACACATGTGCACTCCAGAATGTTATTAAAATTGCAGAAACTCTCTATTTCTTTGGCTTAGTAAACTCTTCCCCAGCTTTCACTGAGGAAAAACTCCTTCCTCCTCTTGTTAAATTTGTTTTCTTTTTCTCAGTCCTGCTCCATGCATTAATAGGTAGATAAACTCTTGGTAAATGGCCATATAGCAACTTCAAGTAACATAGAAACCTGAATAAGCAATTAAAAGTAATAACGCTTCCACATACCATCTTTATGGCCAGGAGAAGATCTTCCCTTCTTATCAGTCAGAGAAAAGCAGGGTAGGAGAAGAGTTGTGGTGGAATAGATTTCAGCATTGCTCTGACCACTCATCTGATGTTTCTACTTAATCTGCTCTTAGTTCCTTGACCTTTGCCCTAGTCCATCTGTACCTCACTCATGTTTGGTCTCCCTCTCAGCTCCAGTCATGGTTTAAGTCTCCATTGTCTTCTACTTGTGTCCATCAAGTAAACAATGACCTCTGGACATCTCTTCTGATTGGTTGCTACAAAAGTGGAAGGACTTCATACTGTCTTCCACGTATCATGCATGACCACCTCTCAGAACTCTCTCATCTCCCCTTCCTCACATTTCACCTATCAACCCTATGATCCTACATTTCCTAGTTCCCTTCCTGTGAGGAATTGACAAGGAGGGAGGGGAAGTGTCTGATACTAACTGAATTTCAAAGAATCTTTGTGATTTTCAAGCAGCCCTTGCTCAATCACTTCTCTTTGGAAGTTCCCTCTTGCCTTGGGAATGAGGGCAGGGCTAGAGAGAATTGACAGACCTCACAGTGAGATTTAGCAAGGTATAATAGAAAATAAAATAGAATAGAATATTATAATAAAATATAGTAGAAAAATCATTACATTCAGAATTTATACCTTTTTTGTGTCATGGACCCTTTTGGCAGTCCGGTGAAGACTTCTCAAAATAATGCTTTAAAATTCATACAGAGGAGATCAATTACATTGAAATACAGTTATGAAAATATTTGAAAAAACAATACAAGAGTTCAGGTTAAGAATTTTGCCTGTTTTAGTTACTAGTTCTGCTGCTCCTTACCTATATGACTTTCAGGCCTCAACTTCTTCATCTGTAAAACAAGAGTATTGGATGAAATGATCTCTATGGTCCTTCCCAGTGCTGAATCCTATTGATTTTTTGATGACCAGGACAGAGGAACCATCTAGGTAGTGTAGTGGATAAAATTGCCTGGACTTATACTCAAATCTAGGCTCAGACATATACTAGCTGTGGGACCCTGGGCAAGTCATTTTATATCAGTCTGCCTTAGTTTCCTCAACTATAGGGACTATAACAATACCTACCTCACAGGGTTGTTGTGAGGATCAAATGAGATAATATTTGTAAAAAGAACTTAGCAGTATGCCTGGCACACAGTAGGCACTTAATAAACCCTTATTCCCTTCCCCTCTCTTTCTCTAGCTATACTATGGAAGTTGGTGAATGGGACTTGGTGAATGGGGAAAGCCTGTTCACTCTTTGGAATCCTATGAAGGTGAATTAAGAAACACAGGCCAGACCAAACAGAAACGTGGTCTCTGAAAAGGTTTCTGAAAGTGGAATGAAAAAGGAGGAGGGGTGAGAGGCAGGTGGAGAATCAACAGAGAAAGGAAGGATATAAAAAGTCAGACTTCTGGCTGTGGAGAATTGTCAAAGCTAATCCCAGGTAAAATAGAGGGGAAATCAAATTTGTGTTGCCAGAGGAGTTGATGGGGTGAGATCTATAAGGGTGGATTTGTGTGTATGTGTGTATGTGTGTGTGTGTGTGTGTGTGTGTGTGTGTGTAACACACACTGAGCCTTAAGGTAGGTCTTTGCCATTGACTGCTGCATTCTTTTTAACCTTCTGAACATAGTCTTCTTTCTAGAATGCTTTCTCGTTATGCTAAGGCACATTTTTTCCCCTGCCGCCCTTAGCTCTTGTCTCTACATGCTCCCTGCATACTAGCTTCACCCCCCTCTCTAAAAGCAACTGTAAAAACACCTGCGTTTTATTAAAGCTGTTTGTCGTTTCATGGAGTTCCACTCCTCCCTTCTCCTCCCCCTCACACTCAATGAAATTGTACCATGGCCAGTGTTAACCCTGTGTGTCTGGGTATCCTGCGGGGGGTTTTGGTTATTCAGCCTTCCTCTGAAAGGGCAATTCCAAAGAGATGGAGGTCCAGCACCCAGATCAGGCATTCTTGTTGAGAAATTTTGGCTCAATGTAAGAATTTTTTTTTCTCTTACCAACTAAAAGCTGTCCTCAAGTAGAAATGAGCTGCCTCAAGAGGCAATGAGTTCCTGACTCTTAGGGGTCTTCCAGTGGAGGCTGAATGACCTCTTGTCAAGGATCTTGTAGAATGGGGTTACTGTTCAAATATGAATTGGGTTGTGAGGCTTCTTCTAATTTTGAGACCATGAGTCTGTGATTGTATGTGACTCCTATTTCTAGCTGTGCCTTTGTTTACTTCCTGTGACCACTCTCTGTACCTCTTTCCCCACCACTCCGGGTGCTATATTTCTCTTTTCATGAAATAGAGAAAATAATAATGCCTGAAGGGGTCTTCAAAGAGAAATGATTGTCAAGTTCTTTGATATTCTTTAATGCTGTGATCAAGTACAATGGTTTAATCAGAATCTGAAAGTTGTTTATCCTGCCTTTGGGCAAGATAGGGATGGGGACTAAAGCTCTGATTGTGTTGCCATAGAGAGGAAATTCCCACTACCAATGCAGGTTGATACCTTCTCTGCAATTTTAGGAAGGGGTGTAGCTGAACCAATGTCAAAAGATAGCTGCTTACTATTTTCCGAAATTTTTGTCTGGAGTTATATTTTCTTTGGAGTTATAGCATCTGCCAAGAGGCACAAAATTGCTCTTCATTCCTTCTATTTTTAAATTTGTGTCCATGTTGCTTATTCCCAGTAGAGTGAAAGCTTCTTTAATACAGGGACTCCTTCATGTTTATTTTTGCATCCCCAGCAGCTAGCAAGGTTCCTGGCATTTGTTAGATTAAATTTAATTGAGTTGCTTTCCTTTAAAATTGCACCTTATGAAAAGAGCAGAAGAGACCTTATCTTCCCATCCATTCTTGTGCTATCTTAAGACAAAAGTGACTCCTTCCAGAGAGATGAGTATTTAGCCTAGTCTTAAAGATTTCCAGGAAAGAAGAGTCCTAACCTCACTTGGCAGCTGGCAGTATCTTACAACCACTAGTCAGGAAATTCCTCTAACCTAAATCCTTCTTGGTGAAATTTAAATTCGTTTTCTTTTAGTCTGTCCTCAGCAGAGATGGAAAACAGCTGGATGCTTTCCTCTGTCCAATAACCTTTCACATACTGGAAGACTGTTATGTTATACTTTACCCTCATCATTTGAAGATAGCACGTAACTTGCATAGTGATTGTTGATAAAGAGAATTTGGAGAACGTGGGGGGAAGTTGCTTTCCTAATTGTTTAATAACATTATTAATAAACATTACTGGGCTTCGGCTCCTCTGTCATTCATTCAATCAACAAGCATGCAATGTGTTTCCTGTGTATCAGGCACCAATTCTAATGGCTAGGGATACAAAGAAAGGCAAAAATACAGTCCCTGCCCTCAAGGAGTTTACCTTCCATTTCAAATTCTTCCACAGTGCATATACCTAATATAATGAGCCCTAGTTTCCTTTTTCAAGGTTAAGAGGTCTGTAAGCATTCCTCTTGCCTCTGAAATGCTATATATACTTAGGTTTGTGGCACTCTAGAGTTTATAAGGGAGTAACTAGTTTTTAGAAATAGCTCATAAACCTACATCTGAATTAGAGGCTAAGGCCTCTTAGTGGCAGGGGCAAAAAAAATATTGATTTTATTGCATGTAACAAAAGAGAAGGGGGCAGAGTTGGCAGACCATTTCAGTACCATCCCCCCACTCTCTCCTGACAAGACAGCCTGACCTACCAAATACTGTCTGCCTAAAAGATGTGTCTGGCCATCATATCACCAGTCTGGGAACTATCAAAGCTTTGGGGTTTTTTAACATTAAAGAGGTAACAAGAAGAGAACAATGAGAAACAAGAGAAAGGTCTGCTGACCCAGGTGCCCTTCAACCGCAGACTGGAAAAATTGAGACATCTGAGCTCCATTGGTCAGAGCATGTAGGAAAGAGTCTCTTTCAGCCTTGCCCCTAGCAAGGAGAACAGGAAGAGGGAGGAGGGGGAGCCTATATACTGATATAGTCCTCCCAACAAGTGACTCAGGTAAAAGTTCTACCACAAAAAAATCTATCACAAGAGCTGGCTTCTCCACCAATACCCAAGTACAAATTCAAAGGATAACATCTTTTATGATTGCAGATATCAGGGCTAGCCAACCAACAATTGGCAAAGAGCTAAATTGTTCCTGTGTTGACATTTCTGTTACCAGTTTACCCGTAACACATTAGGGGTTCTAAGGTTTTTTGTTTTGTTTGTTTTGTTTAGAAAACAATTAACTTTGGGAACTCATACTCAACAGATACTATTTTGGTATGCAAATGGGCCCTTAATGAAGACAGCAGTTAACAGATAAATTTTTAAGAGAACATGATTCTGAGGGCTCCCTTATCATATGCAGGAGTGATCAGGAATGGTAAGTTCTTGTCAAATCAAAAATTAACTACATCACTTGGATGCTGCAGAAGTTTTTTATTTCTTTTTTCTAACTCCTTTGACAGCTTCCTACTGGCTGAAATCTTGAATTGTTGTCCCATAATGCACTATGGTTAAAAATGGGTGTGTCAACAGAAGCTTAATATAGTAATTTGGTATCAATAGCTGGGTATTTGCTATTTGAAGGCTGTTAGTCTTGACTATGTGGATGTTTTTTACCGATTTTATTCTTTTCCTGCATGAAGTTAGAATCTCAAAGATTCTCTTAGGTATTCATTATCTCCAAGATGTTATGAAGAACTTTTCATATATCCTAAGTGTTTTTATAGTATTTATATTTATATAGACCATTTTTTTTCTTTAAAAAAAATCCTAAGATTTTTAATCCTTTCTATATAGGTTTACCTTAGACTAATGGTGTCAAACTCAAATAGAAACTGATCCTGGAGGGCCCATATCAACTTAGAAAATCACAAATTAACATTATTTATGTTGTGTCAAAATTTTTTAAAAAACATTTCCCAATTACATTTTAATGTAGTGCACTCAGGAGTTTGTGTGTGGGGCAAATCTGATAACATCCGCCTTAGACGGCTCCACTGAGAAAGTTAGAAAGTTAGTAACTGCCACAAGTTAGGATGAGGCAGTGATACTTGTTAATTTTCCAAATGCTATTGCTTTGCAAGGTGTTTGAAATTCACTACTCTTATCATGTGTTACACTTGTTGGAATTAATAATGGACAATTGTAGTCCATTATTGTAGCCCAACTTTAACCAATATTTCTTTGTAACTCTTCAGTGTTTATA